TTATCCACATATTAACATATATACAGTGGCAGTATACCTTTATTTTACATTCTTCCTTAAAACTTCTAAAATTTTTCTCTTTAGTCATTTATATGTACATATACTAGGTTCTTGAAAATGTCATGAAACTGCTTACAAAAATACATACCATATACATCTCTTCCATCCCAGAAATAAAAACGTACTCTAGGAATGCATTCAAAGTGATAATTTCTGCCACTCGTTCAGCTTCAAGTTTAGCAAGTATTTGTTAAGTTTACTTGCAAAGCACTAGCTCCCATGGAAATAAAAACATGAAAGCAATAAAACAGGATCCGTGTGCCCAAGAGGGGTGAGTTCAGTGTAAGGAGAAGACATGGCCCAGCTTTAAACAGCTGCTAGAGCATACTACTCATGGGAGGCTGGTCTGAATTCTCACCACTGGAGAGGACTTCAAGGTCCCAGGGTTTCTTCTCTTATTGGTTCATATTACACAAAAGTTAGCCCATCACTCAGTCATGGCCAGGAGGAGCCACACAACACTGCTATGGTATTTCAACGAGGGAATGGAAGCCTATGGAGATGCCAGAAGGAGAATCAAAGCTCTCTTTCCTTTATTTGAACTATTGTTCTTAGACGGGACCTAGATGAGGGTGCTCACACCTGCACTCACTAAAATGTGACCGAATAGTTGGTTATCTAGACTCAACCAGCCCTCAATGTATCATCTTTTAATTTGCACACTTGCCACAGGTGCAGCATCTTACTGGGCAAGTTTATTAGCAGGAAGGAGGGAAAGAAACCAAGGACCTTCCTCCCACAGGGGACCTTTTTTTCTGCTCATTAACAGACCTGTCAGTAGAAAACCGGTAGAATTGAAAGCAGGTGATGTTCACACCAGTCAATTTTGCTACTTGTTAGCAGCTTTCATAACCGACGGAAAATAGAACGGGGAAGAAAGGCCCTCTGAGGAGGAAATGAAATCAGATTTTGTTCTTTCTGCTGGATTTCTACAATCCTTGCTCTCCTTAGCATGCATTGTCATGGAAAATTCCAAGTTCTCTGTAGAAGAGTTCATTCTATTCCCTAATGCGCTACTCCTAATTACTTCCTCCCTCCTTCCTTCCTTCCCTTCCTCCCTTCTTCCCTTCCTCCCTTCTGAAATGAGTTCTCACCGTGTTGCCCAGACTGCAGTGCAGAGGCTATTCACAGGTGTGGAGTTTTGACCTGCTCCATTTTCAACCTGGGCAGGTTCACCCCTACTTAGACAACCTGGTGGTTCCCTGTTCCTGGGAGGTCACCATATTGATGCTGAAATTAGTACGGGCACCCAATCAGCATAGCACATGACAACCCAGGACTCCTGGGCTCAAGTGATCCTCCAGCTTCAGCCTGCTGAGTAGCTGGAACTACAGGCATGTATCACGGTGCCAGGCTCTCCTTGTTTTAATTAAGTAGTTTATGAAACGTGGACCACAAAAGCAACAGCAATTGGGAGTCCAATGGACAAAAGAAAGTATGTACAGACCCTTTATCGATGCTCTCAGCCTCACACAAACCATGTTGAAGGAAAAGAAGTTTGAGATCAAAAGGAAAACTTAGGGTTGGGATAAAATAAAGCATAGCCCCAAGCCAGAGTTCAAACACAGACTTTTCAGCGACTTTTGTTTCCAACATGAACAAGCAAGGAATATATCAATAACTACAAGGATCTTATGATTTTGTAAAAGGAAACTAAAAGCAAGATAATCGAACCCCCATAAATGTTTGAATAATTCTAGAACATCCTAGAATGGTCTACCTCTTTATTAAGCACTACTTGAGTGTGGTCAGGGGACTATAATACAATGCACAAATCCAAATATGGTTTCATTTTATACTATCAATAGTATCTTTTGGGATATAAAATATATATATTCATAGAAAAAATGTGGAATCTAGGTTTCCTAGGTTAGATAATGCCTTTAGAGTATGTAGCCTCTAGATAATACTTTCTCTTCAGATTACTGATTCACCATCACATTAATACTAAGAATAATAGACCTTGCAGATGTAACCATAATCTTGGCAGATCCTTCCTTCTAGGTTAATGTTTCTCCATAAGCACCACTCCTTTTTCAGCATACGCAACACATACAAATTGATCACCAATACATATTGGGGGTAAGAGGATTCTTCTCTCGGTAGAGTATTAATAAAATCAGCCTTCGGCTACACTTCTCAACCTTTAATATGTTTCAAAAGAAAATAAGTAAATCCCTCCCCTTCTCTTCCTTCTATCCTCCTTCCCTTTCTCTTTGTCTCTCTCTTGTATACAAACAGGGGTAAGGCACTCTCCTTTCTCACTCCACTATAATGATTATAAACTTTCTGATAAAAAAAATCAAAATGAAATATGAAAATGCAAGATGTTTTAGATGCAAAAATGTTTTCAAAGTGAACCAAATGGGGTCAAGAAACTCCCTGAGAAACAACATTTCCTAGATTTATAGTCTATTTGCCTTCCTCTTATGAAATAGGATTGCTTATTCAAATTTCCCCAAGTTTTGAAGTTTCACACAGGTTTTAAATACTGCTAATATTCTTGGGAGAACTAAGGTGGTAATCTTCACGGGTGCTAATATACTATGCCCCATAACATTTGAAAATGAATATTGTATGTAGTGACCAAAATACATAGCAGGACAGCAGTTTAAAGTCACCCCATTCTGCTGCTCCTAGTGGCACAGATCATTCTGCCAATGTAGTTGATGATTTAATCAATGGCACATTTCTCTAGTACCTTCTGGTACCCGACAAAAAACAATCCTCACCTGGGGCAGTCAAGAAAGCTGAAAAAAAAAAAAATGAAAATTCACTGTAATCGGAAAATGCAAAGTGCTTCCGGGCATGACTGCATTACTAAACCTGATGCTTCCAAAGTTAACCTTCTGGGGTGCTAACAACATCAAAGTGCCATAGAAGTGATAGAGAAAAACTCCAAGAGCAAAGAATCAATTAGCTCCATGGGGATACGCCAGACAGGAAAACAAGGTTTCGAAGGGTACAATGTGAATCCATAGGTAGGGAAAACTGTAAACATGAATCACTTCTTCAGTCTAAATCCGATCTTTTAGAGCAGACATTTGGGATTGCCTGCAAAGTCACAGGGCACTGATGGACAAGTTTGTGTATGGGAAGTTCTTGTGATCCAAGACAATGATCTATTTGAGAGTTACCCACATGCAGGAGATGTGTGAAAAATCACCAGATGAGAAGAGAAGTTGATTTGGAGACCCTTTCTCCTGGAGGAGAGTAGGAGAGTGCTTATTCTGTGGGCCCAAGTCCAATATTTCCCTAGGAATTCTCTTTCCTACCTTTATTAAGCCAAAGCTCTCTGTAATATTTGTTCATTTGGCCATGATCAGTTTTTCTTTCTGTTACTGTTTGTTCTCCAGCTCCCCTCTCCCTTTTCTCATGTTCAGATAGAATATGTTTGCTATCCCATTCATGGTAAACTGACTACCTATCACATCTGCCAACCCTTAGTCTTGGGATGAAACTGGAGACATTCAGGAATGTGTTTTGGCAAAAGTGATCTACCTGGCTCCATACCTGCTGAAATGTATAATCCCTCTTGGCGAGGAAAAGAAATAGAATGTCTTGGTGAGAGAAACAGCAGGAACCCTGATACACAAATGGAAGAAAGAAACCTCCAAGGTCAGGAGCAAAGGGGGCAAAATAAAACCTGTGATGATTTCCCATTGTTGGTGTCATCCCTGAGGCCATAATTCCTTCTGTGGACACTGGTAGCTCCAATGACAGCAGGAAAATAAATCCATGTCCTTATATTGTTCCCCACATAATTAGACATTATAATGCCCAAACCCCATTTCCCAAGGCCTTCTCAGCCTTCCTTCTTCCCACCCCATCTCTAAGATGATCTCTAGATTTGAGGCTTCTAACCTCAGACGGCCCCACTCCTATCTTTCCCTCCCCAGCCCTTATGTGTGTTACCGAAAGAGAGATATTCTAGCCAATTATCCAAGCATTAGAGATCAAGACATAGTTTAAAAATAGTTTCTATATTCACATGTCTGTTAAACACATACACTGAAGGAACAAACATCACAATCTGTTTCTCAACCTTTTTTTTTTTCATTGTCACCTTCCCAAGGAGTCTTTTAAGACGTTTTTTCCTAATTACACCGCCTGTAAAATTTTAATATCATAAGTATACTATATATCTGTTTATCTAATGTATGTTTATCTTTGCTTTATACACTGAAAAAGTTTTCTTCACCCACCAAGAACCAATTTTCAGCCCCTTAGGGAAGGTATTAGTATACTCCCTGTTGCGAATGCATGCTCTTGAAGCATGCAACAATTAAGGTTATTTTACCAGAAGTGTTAAACTACTGCTTTTCTAATGTTCAATGAAATATAAATCTTCAGAAACACCAGCATTCCTATAGACCTGTCATCTGTATTAAAGTGGTCCAAGACTGGGCCTGGTAGCTCACACCTATAATCCCAATACTTTGGGAGGCCTAGGTGGGTGGATCGCTTGAGTCCAGGAGTTCAAGACTATCCTAGGCAACATGGTGAAACCCCATCTCCACTAAAAACACACAAAAAATAGCCACATGTGATGGTGTACACCTGTAATCCCGGCTACTCAGGAAGCTGAGGTGGGAGGATCACCTGAGTCCAAGGATGTCGAGGCTGCAGTGAGCCAAAATTGTATCACTGCACGCCAACCTGGGCAATCTGAGTGAGACCCTGTTTCAAAAAATAAAGCATAATAAAAAACTAAAGCAATCCAGGACAGCAGAGTCTTTATCTCCTGGGATTCCAAAATCTACTGTCTACGGCCTTTTACCATCTTCCATAGGAAATTCTACAGAATTAGCAAGTGTTACTCTCAAGTTAGTGCCAACTCCACCTATTCTTTTTTTAATCTTAATGCATTTTGCTTATATGCTAAGACACAAACACATTTAAACCATTTCCCACTCCAGAAACGAAACAAATGGACTCACTTCTTGCCGTTTGAAGTTCTGGACATATTCTTCGAACTGTTCGTCTTTTGTCTCATCAGCTTTCCCCAGTTTCTGGAGGACCTAATTTGCAAATAAAACACAATGTTTAATTTAATAATGTTTTAAAAGAAAGATGTGCATTTTCTGTTAATGGAGCCAGGCTGATGTTTTGCTCCGAGGAGTAGAGCAAAAACTATCAGCACTCCTAGTTTTTCTGTTCTGGAAGCATCTTGGCTTGGCAGCTGTGGAGCTGAACAAAAAAAAAAAACTGAATCCCAGCCCTGCCCCTCACAGGCTGTGTGGCTTTGAGCAAGTGTTGTGCTACACTGCACTTATTTCTTTATATAACTGTTTCCTTTAGCAGGCTGTGCATGACTTAGAGACAGAAGCTATGCCTTATTTGTCTTTTTGTCCAAAGCATCTGGCACAATGCTGAATGCATAATTGGTACTCAGCTGCTTGTGAACAGTAGACCAAAGCTGTCTGACTAAAGCATTCATCCACTTCAGTGGTCCCCAACCTTTTTGGCACCAGGGACCAGTTTCATGGAAGACAATTTTTCCACTGACCAGAGGGTGGCGGGGGGAGTGGTTTCAGGATGACTGAAGCACACTACATTTATTGTGCACTTTATTTCTATTATTATTATTACATTGTAATATATCATGAAATAATTATACAACTCACCATAATGTAGAATCAGTGGGAACCCTGAGCTTGTTTTCCTGCAACTAGATGTTCCTGTCTGGGGGTAATGGGAGACAGTGACAGATCATCAGGCATTATATTCTCATAAGGAGTTTGCAACTTAGATCCCTCGCATGTTCAGTTCACAGTAGGGTTTGCTCTCCTATGAGAACCTAATGCTGCTGTTGATCTGACAGGAGGCGGAGCTCAGGCGGTAATGCTCCCTCGCCTGTTGCTCACCTCCTGCTGTGTGGCTCGGTTCCTCACAGGCCACAAACTGGTACCAGTCTGAGGCCAGGGATTGGGGACCCCTGATCTACTTCATCGGGACAGTATT